GTGGGCGCGCGTGGATGGGAGCAGGAAGTCCCAGTCAGATCCTGATCTCTCAACATCCTTCCTCAGCCTCCCCCATCGTCTGCTGACTACCCCCTGAACACACAGGCGCCAGGGAGGAGGCCCTCACTCACTCCCAGGGCCCCTGCAGCTGTTCCAGGGAGGCGTGGCTCCCTCATGATTGATGTAGGCAGAGAGGAGTGAGTGAGCTACCAGGGCTACCCGTGGCCGTGGCGGGATTAGAATTAGGTGACCATGCTGCTTCAGTTTGCCACGCTGGTCTCAGAGAATCCTTTGGTCCTGGGTACACTGAGACACCTGGTCACTGTGATATAATTTACTTCTCTTTTCCGTGTACTCCCCCCAAGGAAACCCTCACTGACTCCTGCCCACCCACTGGGCCAGGCAGGAGCCCGACCTCCAGAAGCAGCCCCTCGGAGCGGGGAGCGGGGAGGGGCAGCGCTGGGATATTGCAAGTCAGTTTCCGGACAGAGGAGCTATTCGTCATCACCTCGTGGGGAGGGCGCCGGGCCCTAAATATCGCCTGCGATTTTGCTAAATGTGTCTTAACGGGAGCCGTATAACTGCTGTCAGAGATAGAGGGGAGAGCGATGGCAGCCTTCGGGATAATGAACTACTTAGTTAAGACGAAGCCGTGCCACTCCGATGCTGCGCCTCGATACCAGGGGTGGGGGGTGACGCATGGGGGCTGACTGGTGGCAAAGTCAATGCCGGAGTAGACAGCGCCTGTCTGTAGCTGGCGGCTGAGTAACTGGCAGACACATCTCGGGGAAATGGTGATGAGTCGTACCAGAAAGGAAGGTGGCGAGATCCGGGCTCCGTTAACATCAGGCATGGGACTGATGAGAGCAGGAAGGCCCCCACAATCCAGCTCACCCCTCAGTTTATAGATGAGGAAACTGAGGCCCAGAGAGAGGGGCTGCCTGCCCAACATCCCAGAGCTGGTTGGCAGCTGAGACCAGAACTCACGTCCTGCGTGACCTCAGCACGTCGCATGCCTCTCCTCCCAGTGATCGCAGGCGGGGGTGGAATGAGACTGGCTTCAGGGTCGGGCAGATCTGGGTTCAAATCCCGGGTTTGCCGCTTATAGTGCAGCCCTAGAGCAAGGCACTTCGAGGCTCTGAACTGCAATCCCTCCTGCGACAGAGGAGTATCCACAGGGTGGGGTAAGGATGGAGAATGCACACGGGAGAAAGCGCAAAACACAGCTCGTGTCTAATTCTGATTTCAACACTGTTGAGAACGGGACTCGAGTTGCAGAAGGCGAGGCAGATGTGCAAACAGGCAATTACACTCCAGTGTGGCATACACAGCGATCCTAGCGTCGTGGAAAGCGGGCAGGGGCTGTTGCGAGAGCCCGTGAGAAACCCGAGTGAAAGTGCTGGGAAACTGGAAGGTTCCATCCGTGCACCAGGAAGGCGGCTCTAAGCCTTAGAGCCCAGGCCTCCTACTTGCTCTGCAGCCTGGAGCCGCTCCTCAGTCCCCGGTGGGCTGAGAGGAGGAGGATCCTTGGCCAGGAATGGCTCCCCCTGCCCTCCGCCCTCTGTGGCTCTCAGTAGGGGACCTCGGGAGCCAGAGGCACAGTGACTTCCGCCTCAGCTTGGAGAGGTGTTTCCTGACTTTGGTTCCCAAGGACTCCAGCAGGCCCGGGACCAGGGGCTGGCCAGCGGGACTCAGGGTCCTCCTTGAATTCTGCATCGTGGGCATCTCGCTTGCCTCACCCTCATCCCAGCCCTGGCTGTCGTCTCACAAAGATGCCTGGTCAGAGATGGCCTCCAGCGTGCACCAGGGCACGAAAACCTTCTCTGCCAGGGCCCATGTGTGGAGTCACAGCAGGCTGAGCACGCTGCAGCCTCAGGGCCTTTGCACGTGTGTTGGGCTCTGTCTGGAATGCTCTCCCCACTGGGTCCCCAAGTGCTCACGCCTCCTTTATTCTGGCCTCTTCAGACCACCTGGTGCAGAGCAACCCCTTCCCCCATCCCCCACCCCCGGCCCTCTGCCGCTCTGCCCGGATTCACACGGACCCTCCTGGCATGTTTGCGGGTGTCTGTTTGTTTGTTCATTGTCTCCTCTGCTGAAACGGCAGCTCCGTGCAGGCCTGTTCTCACTTCTGTGTCCCCAGTGGCTAGCACAATGCCTGGTAACAAATAGGGTCTCAAAAACTTGTCTTTCACGAATGAAGGCTGGACAGGAAGAAGGAAGGAGAGAAAGGTTTGAAAGTTGTGAAAGGGAAAGAACATGTCTAACTTGGTATAACCCAGTGGTCGGCAAACTCATTAGTCAACAGAGCCAAATGTCAACAGGACAACGATTGAAATTTCTTTTGAGAACCAATTTTTTAAAACTTAAACTTCTTCTAACGCCACTTCTTCAACATAGACTCGTCCAGGCCGTGGTATTTTGTGGCAGAGCCACACTCGAGGGGCCAAAGAGCCGCATGTGGCTCGTGAGCCACAGTTTGCCAACTAGGGGTCTAACCCAACACTTTCCACACTCAGTTGTGGGTCAGAGCATCTCTCTGCTGAAACACCCACTAGCAGTTCCTTCCTCTCTACACACTCTGGGAAACGCTGTCTCACGGGGTCAGAGTCACCGCACTCAGGCGCCCGCTTCGAATCCTCCCTCTGCTGCCCCAGGGAGCCCTGTCTCGGCAATGCAGGGGGCTGTCCTCTGCTCCTGGCCTGGCATGCCCCCGTGAGTTCCCACCTCCTTCCGGTGGGAGGGGCCCTTCTCCGGTCTTGCGCTATTCAGCCACCTGGACTGACTGCTCAGCTAACTCTTAGCTGTAGCATCACAGGTGAGACCCTAGGGGAGGGTAGTTCCCTCCCCGGAAAGGTGAGCTCGGGGCTCAGCCCCAGGATGGGAATCCGGATGGGACCAGGTCCCGGACTCCTGCCGTGGTCTCCCAGCCTTGGGGCTGACTGGTGGCTCCCAGGATTGGGTGTGACGTGTTTGTCGCCCCTTTTCTCACCTCACCCATCGTTAGCAAGTCTGTGCACTCAGCATGGTGGTCATGAAGGAGCAGAGGGTTTGGGTTCGAGTTCCAGCTCTGCCCTAGGGCTGTGTGATCGGGGCAGGTGCCTTGGCCTCTGTTTTCCCAGTGGAACGTGAGAATAATACCCGTACCTCTCTCCTAGGGTGGTCGCGAGGGTCCATCCCCCTGTGGACAGCCTCTTTGTCAGGGTTTGGGGTCCCCGCTGGGCCTGGAGACTTCCCTGATTGCTCAAGCTGGGCAGGTCCCCCCTCCGTCTCATAGTCCTCCACCGTCATCCCACCATCACCCTTTCCCCCCAATGTGAACCTGTGTTCCCGCGGCATTCCTGGAGGGCGGGAGACGCCTGAGCCTCCTGTTTCCCAGATCTGGTCCAGTGCCCTGCAGAACAGGCGGGAGCCAACACTGTGGACGAACGAAGGAAGAGAGGAGAAGGCAGAAGGCCAGCCCCTCTGACCTCCGCTCTCTCTGGCCCACGGCCCTGGGGCACCCTGTGTGAGCTCCATATCTCTCTCCCTCCCCCTGGGCCGTGCCACCTGAAGCCTTGGCCTGGGGAGGCCGAGTCTGACTCCGGCGTCCACATTGATCCTCCCCGGTCGATGTCTGTGTTTTCCCCTGGAGAGTTGTAGCCATTATGCTGCAGGCAGTGGCCAGGCCCCCGGGCTCAATCGGCTCAGGCCGCCTGCACAATTGAAACCCCCGAGCCCATCCTGGCTAGTTTTCTCATTAAGACGATTGGACAGGATCGATCCACGATGTCGATGGCTGGACATCAGCCGGTGGGAGGCCAATCGGAAGAGCCTGGATGATAAACCCAAGAAGGAGGTCCTCCGCTGAGCTGGAGGGATCACCCAGCCTCTTGGATGGGGCTCTGGGAGGCAGGGGGCGTCAGAGGCCTCAAGGCTGGACTCGGTGTGCGGGCAGCTCTGGTCCCCTGGACCTGGTACCAGGTGAGGGCCCCGGGATGCCCGGGACAGCTGTGGGCGAGAAGTACCATCAGGAGCTGGCAGAGGTTTGAAAGTCCTTCCCAGACACTCAGCCCATAGTCACCTTCCACCAGGTCACCATCCCCAGGCCCAGGGTTGGGACTGCCTCTCCCCTTGGGGGGCAGGGTGCATGCAACGCGGGATTTGGGGTCCAGCAGTACCCCGGAGCTCTCCTTCCTTTTCACCAGGAGTAAATTGGGTTGCAAGGCTGGGAATGGAGGGATCTGGCACCTAGGGCAACATATCCTGATGTGGGCTTCTCGGGACCCTGGCTACAGGGGTGCTGATGGTGTTTAGGGAATGGCTATGCGACCTGTAATCAAATAGGTTTGGCAACGCTAGATGAAATGCATTTTAGCGTGCTCACTTCCTGCGCGGCCCAGCAGGCTAACGCACTTCCGAAGCTCTCTAAAAGGGGGTGGGGTGAGTGTTTGACCACAGAAATCATGACGGCCCTCCCTCGGGTGCCAGCAGGCACCGCTTTCACAAAGAATTCATCCCAAGAAGAAGTGTTGGGCCGAAACCGATTTGGCTCAGTGGATAGAGTGTCAGTCTGCAGACTGAAAGGTCCCAGGTTCAATTCCAGTCAAGGGCATGTACATTGGTTTCGGGCACATCCCTGGTGTGAGGTGCGCAGGAGGCAGCTGGTCGATGTTTCTCTCTCATTGATGTTTCTATCTCTCTATCTCTCTCCTCTCCCTTCCTCTCTGTAAAAAATCAATAAAAATATATATTTTTAAAAAAAGAAGAAGAATAAGAAGTGTTGGGATTGGAGGGCTCCACCAGAGCCAGGGAAATTGCTAAAAAGGGGACGCCAACGAGAAGGAAGGAGAAGATGGTGGTTCATTCTGGCTCGGTTACCCATCGCAGAGACTACAGAGAACAGCGCCCCCTACAGAAGTGCTGGCGCTCTCCGCCACCTGCCCCGATCAGCCTGCCCTCCTGATCAGCTCCTGATCAGCTTGTGCCCTCAACTCCTCATTCTCCTTTTGTTCCCCCCATAGGCTACCTGACTGTCAACATTGAGCCTCTCCCACCCGTGGTGGCTGGGGATGCCGTGACCTTGAAGTGCAACTTCAAGACAGATGGCCGCATGCGTGAAATCGTGTGGTACCGGGTAAGTCGCCGCCACTGTCCCCTTCCCTCCCCTGGCCCGTCTGGAGACCCTCCCAGGGGGAGCTATGCCCTCAGCCCTCAGCCAGCCCTGAGCTGCCCTGTGCCCTCTGCCAGGTGGGGATTCTCCACCCACATCCTGCTCCAAGACTGCCTCGCTCTGTCTTTCCTCTGCTCTCAGATCTGTCTCGTTCTGGCCCCTTGGTGCCCATGATGTCGCTGTGCCCGGGAAACCGAACAAGCACCAAGGATGCTGCATGTGGGCCCTGGTGCAGGGGGACACCCAAGGGGTGTTGATGGGTGGCAGTTTGGACAGGAGGCTTTGGGTGCTGTTTTTGGCAGGGGAGAGAGAAGACCAGGACAGCTTCCTGCCTTCTTAAAACCAAACCACAGAGCTGGTCTGCCTTCCAGTCCATCACGTAGAGGACTCGTCCCGGTGGCTGGCACCCTCAGGGAAGGTCCTAGAAGGGGTGTTACTAGAGATGTGCAGATGCCCACAGGCCAGGGCCCTGGTAAGGCAGCCGGAGGACCAGCTTGTGGTCGCGGGCACGAGTGTTGGTCTTTTCAGGCCGGGATGGAGCCCTCCCTGTGTCTGCACGGCATCCCGGACGGGACACATTGCCATCCTCTGGGGAACAGGGTCAGCGGAGGGCTCCCCTTCTATGATCTAACGCAGAGGTTGGCAATTTTTTTTTTTTCAATGAGGCCCAGAGAGTAAATATTTTCCTCTCCGGCGACTATATGGTCCCTGTCACCACGCCTGTGGTGTGAAGATGGCTACCGGCAGCCTGTCGATGGGGTGGGAGGGCATGGCTGGTTCCCATAAGACGTTCCTCGTGGGGGCTGCAACTTGAACTTCACGTCATGTTCACGTGTCGCAGAGTATTCTCCTTCTTTGTCCTTTTCAACCATTGAAAACGATGTTTGAAGACATTCTGGTCTTGAAGGCCACATGAGACAGGCTGCAGGCCGAATTAGCCCCATTGTGCCATAGTTTGCCAGCCCCCGGTGTGAATGGCTTTTCTCGAACCTCTGTAAGCCGCTCCGCCCTCCCCTCCAACGTGACCAAGGATGGCAGTCCAGTGGAGCTGCTGTCCATGGCGAGGATGGAGCTGGAGGAGAGAGTGGGGGCAGGGTGGGGAGTGTGGGTGGGGGAGGGGGTGGGCACCGCTTGGTGATCAGGCATCTGAACCTGGTTCCTTTGTTCCTCCGAGTTCTGTGCACACCCACGACCATGGCGCAGTGCGTGGAGCCTGCTGGCTCATCCCTGGCAGCTGGGGCTCAGAGCCGCTCCCCTCCATTTCCTTCCTGCTCCTGGTCCGGTCTTGCTTTGAAGCATCCTGCCCTTGTGCTTCCTCCGTGCACTCTTTGGTCTGATGCATCGTTGGCTGGTGACGGCTGTTTTGTCGGCTGTGACCCGGGTTCCTTTGAAACAAAATTGTTGTTCTCCGCCTTCCATGGTAGCCCATCCCCCTTAGATTCTTAGATTCACCTCCAGGGCCCTCCACCCAAGCAGAGGGGGGCCCCCCTGGTGTGATGCTGACTTCCGGGGAGCCCCGGCGTGAGAGGAGAGCTCCATCCAAGACAGATCGGCGGGCCTAGGGAGCGCCCAGGCATATGTTAGATAGCGCCATGCGCTGCATCGCTCTGAGGCGTGTTTACATGATACAGGAACTGCTTGGCTGACACGCTGTGAGCATCTCATTAGCACCTGGCAGAAGCCCTGCGATGAATTAGCTCCAGCTCCTCGCTGCTGCTGCTGACGAGGGGGCCCGTCTCTCGCTCAACCATCCGGAGATGGGGTCTGAGTGAGACCTGCCCTGCTGGCAGAGACAACCAGGGACACCCAAGGGGAACCGTTAATGGGGGTGGAGGTGGGGGCGGGGGGAGCGTGGAGACAGGGAAATACCAGCGGGCACCTCACTGCCTGCCCAGCCCTTGGAGCAAGTATCCTCGCTCTTGTTTGAAATCAATGGTCGCAATCGCAGTGGTGAACATCTCTCTGGGGCGGTCCCTGCCAGGGAGGGGGAGATGCTGGTTCCAGGCCCAGGCCCATGGGATAGGAAACCGGGAGCCGGCCTCCACGTGGCTCAAGTCTGTGTCCTCTGAGGCTGGGGGATGGGGCTGGGCAGGAGGAGAATGCCCAGCTTCCAGTGCAGGCAGAGACTTTCCCTTCCCTTCTCCACCCCCAACACGGGGCACCTCGGCCCACCCCATCCCTGCCGCAGCCTCACCTCCCTCCACCCGGGCCTGTGATCACGTAGATTGCTTTAAGAATCTCTTACGGTGTCAGGCCCTGCATATCAGGCCATGGTAGGCTGCACTAATTAATTTATTTCATTTCACAGCCTTTGACGGAGGGCCTCTGGAGGGGAGGGGGGGGAGATGCAGATGTATGCAAATCACATGCAAATTGACTGCTGGATCAAAATGCTTGGGTCCTTTTGATTCTGTCGCTGGATTGAGGTAGCAGCTCAGCTGACTTAGGACTCTCCCTGGGACTGGGACGAGGCAAGCTCCGGGTGCCCTGTCTGTGATGGTAAGGATGGAGGCGGAGGATGGGAGGAAGCTACAGGGAAATGGCTCTCAGCCGCCAGCTCCCTCTGCCTGCTGCCACTCTGCCTTCCCTCACAGATTACCTCTTTTCCCAAGGAGTCGACTGAATGAAGAGATATAAGAGGCTACTAAGATGGGGGCACCAGGAGCCAAGGCTGGGAAGGGCTTCTGGAGGGAGTAGGAGAAGCATCCACAGGAGCCCCAGTCTCCTTCCCCAGCCAGAGCCCCCCCCCCAGCACGCTTCACCCCACCCCCACCCCCACTCTCCCACCCAACCAGGGGCCGCTGAGCCAGTGTTGTTTGTTTTCTGTACATGTGTTTGCCTCCCCAGCTTCCTTTCCTCATCCTCCGTGAATGAGCTTACAGAGCCGGGCTTGGAAGGAAATGAATAGATTACACAGCCCCAGCCAGGGCTGAGTCTCCAATCCCTTCAGAAGGCAAAAGCAGAGCATTGTGGCGAGGCCACCCCTGCCCGCTCAGCCCCGTGGGCATGGGATGGCCCAAAACATGTGTACAAAGCCCAGCAGCCTCTCCTCTAGTCCCGAGGACGTTGTCTTAGGAATGGGGTCGCCCTGGGCTTTCAGAAACTCAGTGAGTGGATCGGATTCTTTGGGCAAAGTGAGGGGGCCGATGAAACTGCCTGGAGCAAAAGGGATTGCCTCCTTGGGGTTAATAAGACCTCTGGCTGAATATTTGGGAAGATCTTGTCTTGTGGGCCATTTGGGAGTTGGATGGGAGGCAAGGAGAATAGGAGGAGGTAGCCAGGGTCCGCACCTCAGATACTTTGCCCCACAACCTGGTCCATGTGTAGAAGATGCCAAAACTGTAGACTAGCCACTAGTCACACATGGCTATTTATTTATTTTTATTATTATTATTTTTTTAAATACATATTTTTTAATATATTTTATTGATTTTGTAAGAGAGGAAGGGAGAGAGACATAGAGCTAGAAACATCGATGAGAGAGAGTCATCGACCAGCTGCCTCTTGCACACCCCCCACTGGAGATATGCCCGCAACCAAGGTACATGCCCTTGACCGGAATCGAACCCAGGACCCTTCAGTCCCCAAGTCGAGGCTCTATCCATTGAGCCAAACCGGTTTCGGCAGCTATTTAAGTTTAAATTAAATTAAATCAGATTACGTTTAGAGTGTTTTTCCTTGGTCAGACTAGCCACATTTCAAGAGCTCACTAGCCACAAGTACTCAGTGGCCCCCATATGGGACAGAGCAGCAGTATGGAGAACATGTCCATCAGCACAGAAAGATCTGGGCAGCTTGCTGTGGATATTTGAAAAAATGTTCCGTGGCCTTTGGTATATACTGTGCTTTCCTATTAAAGAAATAACCGTGGATTTCATTGAGCCCACATCCCAGGAAAAGTCATTCTCAGGGGAATCTCAGAGAAATGAATTGTATTTGTTTTGTAACCTGCCATCATCAGACTGTGGGGCTTGGGGCTGGGTGGGAAGATGGATCATCTTCTCAGAAGACTTCTTTGAAAACAGAGATGTCGAGAGAGTTGTCAGGCCCTGAAAGTTCTGGGTATCTTCATTGTCTATCAGAGCCCTGTTCAACCTAAGGATGCTTCCCAGCCCTTTTCACCATCTCCCGATGCTTTCTCCCCTGTTCATGGGTTCCTCCCTCAGTTTTGAGTCTCCCCAACTCTGTCTTCACAGCTCAGCCACATAACTCTCCTTGTTCCCTAAAACAACACAGTGGCTAATAGAGTAGAGGTGCAATTCCATTTATGGCCAATAGGAGGCTCTCACATAACAACCAAACTACCTTAGCACTCAAGTCAGGACTTGGTTCTAGAAAGTGAATGATAAATAACATCCTTTATGTAATCATTTCTATTCATTTACACCTATAATCAGAGTTTATTTGGGAATGCTGCTAATTCCAATCCAAGTGGCTAGCATTTGAGCCTTTAGTATGTGCCATGCATACATGCTTTCCTTTCATTTTCCTGTTGGCATTGCGAGGTAGGTATTATTGTTAAGCCTATTTTTCAGATGAAGAAATTGAGACCATTCAAAGAGACTATCACAGCTCATGTTGCTGTTCCTGACTTCTGCAGAAAGTTCTAGATATTCCCTACCCCATAATCCTTCTTTGTGGGTCTACATTCCATCATCAAAACACTGGTCTACCCACTGAGCATCTTGAGCATAAGGGCCAGCCGCCTCCTACTAGGTATGCCTAGTAATAGCCTCAGGAAGTCTTTGTTAGGTGAACAAATGGTAGGACTGTAAATATAAATGTATGTACACCAGGTACCCACTTCCGTTTCCGGTGACCATATGTATACAACTGATCGCATCATTCTGCTTGGGGCCTAGTGTGAGTCTGAATACTCAGGGCTGTGTGGAATATGGATAAAAGAAACGTTTCTTATCTGGGAACACTGTCTAAACTCATTTAGTTGGAGGTCCAGCAGGCAA